AATGGAAAAAAAAAGAACAGACGATTTCAAGAATAATCTCTTCAACTGTGAAGTGCTTCTTATTTGAGTTGAAAATCGAATTTGATCTTGTCAATCAGATAATCTATCGGACGGTGTGGGTGGGTGCGGACGTAGTTTATTCAATCATTTCAAGTTGATTGCTAATATGAGTAAGAAAATGTTATTTGAAAAATAAATAAAGCGATTAAAAATATAATGAAATTCACCAGCATGTAATCAATCATAATTAACATGAATTAAAAGTAATTGAACAAGGAAATCGAGTATTGCAACTTGAAAATGATTTTCATTTGTATTGATATATTTTTTAAGAGTAATTTTTTAGTTCAATAAAAACTAAAATAGAAAACAAAAAAAACACCAGAATAGATCAAATTCCCATGGATTGATCACTATTGATACTTGATGCATAACGTGAACGAAATAAAATAAATAATCAGTTGTCGAATATTTATTGTATGAATATTATTTAAAGAATTATTTATTAGTAATTTGTGAAGAAACATTTGAAAATTTTATTTCGGCAGGTGATAATGAAATGATTTCTAGTTAGTAAAGATTTAATAAAAATTAAATTAAGAGAATATTTTTAAATGAATGTTATGTTAATACAAAAAAAAAGTGATTTTCAAATTTCGAATTGATAACATATCCTGCAGATAACTCATATCAATTAACTGGATTAAGATTCGAATATCAAGAGAGAACCAAATGAAAAGATGTGATACTTTCACAATAAACCATTCTCATTAAAATCGTCGATATTTACAAAATCAGTTTTTCTGTTACTGTAACATTTTTATATTGAAATTTTCTTTCTGTAGGTTAGACCCTTTCTGAAATCTTAATAATAAAATTTCCATCTAAAATTCTGTCCACAGACAAGGTTCAGATCAGAGACTCTCACAGAGTATTTTTTTTTCTTGTCCTGCTCTAAGGATAGGGTGCAGGGCATCGACAGATTAGAAAGATTTTAATCTTCAATAAAATAATGATATTCTCAGATGCTTTTAGCCACTAAATCCCGTGCTAGAAAAAAGAAGCAAGTAATTTTAATTGCAAAACAATATTTGTTTTTTACTAGGATCACGTTTTTTTCACTTTATTTTATTTAATAAATATAAATACGATTTTTATATTTATAAAAAAAACATCAGTAAATTCTTTATATTTTTTCAAAAATAAACACCATAGATGTATATGAACTATACAGAAAGTTTTTTTTTGCATATATATTCTTTTTTTCATGCACTCGCTTGATTGTCTAATGATATGACATGTCGAAGTAATATTTATGGCAAGAAAGAATATTACTTCACATATCCAGTTGTTATACTATGTATTTGTCTATCTATCTCTAACAGAACAAATTTTCCTTCATTCTTTAATTTTCAAAAATAAACAATTTATCTATGTTCATTTTATAGATATCAAGATTTATTTTTATTTATACTTATTCTTTACCATAATTCAAAAATAAAGTTATTGCTGAAAAACAAAATTTTAATGTGCTAAATTTCATAAAGTCAGCAGAATTTTCGACATGAAATTTAAAAGAACTCATATGTCTTCTGTTATGCTTTATGAAATTTTTTAAGTGCGTCGTGGTCTTCTAACATAAAATATGATCTTCTATTCTTGACTTGCGTTTGATAAAAATCGACCATCTTTTAATTTCATTGATTAAAATTAGGTCTTCTGAATGAAAGGCAACTTTTCTTTCTTGCAATTTTTTCCTTGTTCATTAATTTTTTGAGCAAGTAATCATTTCATATTCAAATTTCTTAAGACATGTAGTAGAAAGAAAAAACTCGATTACATTTCTAATCAACTTCATTTTATAAGCAAGGTTTAATTTATTCAAAATTATTTGTGAAATTACAATCAAAATGAATTGAAGATGAAATAATTAGCCCTTTTTTTTAATTTTTTTGGCATAGGATAAACGTTTTTGCCCTGCCAGCCAGTCTCTGGTTCAGACCCAATACGACATCCTAAAGATTTTAGCTCAACCGATTAGTAGAAGAAGATTAACAACTGAAATTTTCTAACTAATATGTATTATTTAAAAGAAGTTTTACCTCTTTTGTACATTGAACGTTGATTGAAAATAATTAAGTGTTTCTTCCAAATTTTTTAATAAATCTTGTGTAGAAATAAGACTTACTACTGATTTTATAGAAAATAATGTTGTTGAAAGTAATCGTTCAAAAATAACTTTTGTATCTTTATTTGTGTTTGATATTATTGATGAATCTTTATCATTCTCTAAAACAAAAAAACAAATGAATTCATTCAGACAATACATGATCCAATACATTCTTCAAATCTAAAACTTTAGAACTCCTTTCTTCTACGAAAGCTGAAATATCAATTATAGAAAATGATCTTCTGCCCAAAAACAGAATGATGATTGTGAAGTTATTTGTTAAGATCTGATAAATATTCAAATAAAAAGAAAGAATTCAAAGAAACATAATAAATATCTTTTCTTTTCTTTACTTCAAAATATTAAATTATTATTATTATCGAGTAATAATTGTAAATTATTAAGATCATTTCATATAAATAGATGTATTAGTTAACAAAGTTCATCATATTGATTATGAAAAAAAGAATGATCAAATTGTTGTTGATCCTAAAACATTTGAAAGAGCATAAATACCTTCTAAACATCCAACTTATATAAAAGACAAAAATAACAAACAATTTATATTCGAGTGGATGTTTGAGCTAAACAATCAAATATTAATGTTGGTAAGCATGATATTGTTTCACATTGCACTCCATCATTGAATATAATTACAGAAGTATTTGTTTGTTGTAATGAATAATGAATTTTATGCATCCATTGACAGGAAGAATTGATCCATTTAGGTAAATAATGTATTGACCATTGATATACTAAAAAAATGAATTGTGATCAACAAACCTTAAAATCAAAAAGTAGCTAGTAACTAACTTAATACAATAAAATCGACTGATGCATTCAACTTCGAAAATAAAACTACGTAGTTAACTAACATCTCTACAATTGACATACTTAGCAAAAGTTAAAGTAGCTGCTGGACGAACACTTGTATCATTATCAGTAAGAAATAGAAAGATAATGACAATACAATGATCAAGTCATGATCGATTCTAAAAATAAAAGTAAAACAAAAAAAAACAAGATATTGTTTTTATCTTCTATATGATTAGTTTTAATTTACTGTTTTTTTTTATCTGTTATTGTTGTTATTCAAGATAAGTTAGTATTCAAGAAAATCAATATTACGCACAATTTGAGGTAGAGCAACCTATTTTATACACATAAACAGTTTATTGTAATCATAAGTTTCATTTGTCTACTTTAGCAAGAATATAAGAACTTATACTATGTTGAGTAGAATCTTCTAATAATTCAATTCCTATGATTGTAAATGTATAACATGTGCATTATTATCATAAAGACATAATCGAAATGTAGAAAGTAATTCTGCTAAAATACCTAATTGAATATATTTAAAAACAAAAAGAAAAAATATTTTTATCAAAAACAAGAGACGATTTAATATTCTAATCTAACCTTGAACTGTCTTGTGAATCAATTGATACCAGTGAATATTCATTAATAAAAGAATTATTAAATGAATTTGATAATGATAATAGTCTTAAAAGATGAATTGTTCTTTTTAATTAATGTAGCAAGGAAAGAAATTTGCATATGTATCACATAAATGTAGATCGCCGTGTTCACATAAAGATAAAAGATATGTAATATCCTAAAGAAAAAAGAAAGATACTTCGATGTTCGATAGATTTTAATGCATTACAAGTTATATAGAGATAAGAATTTCATATCAATTAGAAAATTTTTATTTAATCAGAAATCTTCAACGATTAAAGAAAAACTCATTCGAGAATACAATTGATTTCATATCATAATGAAAAACTGAACATCTCTTTCGTACTAGATATGTACTGAATTCGTACTTTAGCTTCGAACTTTGTTTTTGAGGTAATTATGGGATTGTATAATTTCAATCTCTGATATATAACTGCAGCCTCTGGACTTTAAAACTTTTGTATGTCTAACCTATTTAGTAAAGTGTTCTACTTGATATATTTTCGAGTCTGATAATGTTCTAGTCTTTTGTTGGTTTAAAAAGATTAAAATTTCATATTGTTTTGTTTCAACAATTCAATAGTAAAATCTTCATATCTATCAGATAACTCTCACTAAAACTTTGAGACCATAATCAATTGAAGCCACGTTAATTAAACTCTGTTACAAGTTCCTTCATCAGATTTATCCTATTCATCTGAGTTCTCCTACTGTTACAACATTGGAAATAATTTTGGATTATAAAATAAATGTATTTTACTGAACTGAAACTTTACAAAAAAAAGTCTCAAACAAGCATTAAACATACTTACAGTAGGATAATCAAATTATTAACACATTGAGCAAATGTCTAATTGGAAAAAAAAACATAACTGATTAACAAGTTTAGCAACTGATGTTTGTTTTTCATTATTAATCATTGATTTTAAATATAATTCATCATTCATTTTATATACTAAAATGTCGTGTTGTTTGTTCATTTCAATAAATCAACGTTAATATGTTGAATAATCTATTATTTTAGAAAAAATAAAAACTTGTTGTTCTCTTTTCACAATATTTACCTGTGTTTAATGTGTGACTAATACAAGTTACTTCTATAGATCCAATTTACATTGAAATTAATAATTGATCGAAATCAAATAAATTTAAATATAATTTCATGTGCTTCCAATGAATTGCATATCACATTATGATCTTTTATATTGTAAACAAATATAAAATATCGTATCAACATATTAAAAAATAAAGATTTACATAGAAAATAAAATCATTCATTATTTATCAAATACTGATTGAAAGATGTTGTTCATTTGTACCAATATTTCTAGTTCTTCTTATTGATCGTTGACTTTTTCTTGATAATGATTGAAATTTTTGACATTTAATTTAAGATAACCAATTATTAAAATTTTACTATGATTTTGATTATGATGCTCAAATAATTGATCTGTTAAAATAAAAAGACAAATTATAATTAATTGAAATAATTATTTGAAAGAAAACTTACCAATTACATTTATCATTAGAAAACGTTCTATAATCATAGAATAACATATTGACTGAATAGGACTTGAGAGGTTCCTGAAAATAATTTATTATTAATATTAGGAAAAAAAAAGAAAAATTCATTCTCACTCGACTTCATACCTTAACTTTAACGATTGTTAGTGAATCAACTATGACTAATTTATTTCATTTCTCATTGATATTTAATGATAAATAAAATTTTATTATTCTTACTGCAAATGGCGGACAGTTTCTCAATCGGTATTTCGTCGAATAGTATGTGACTACCTATTCTACAATCATTTTCTATGTTTCTATTCAATCGCATAACTTTTTTCTGATTACTTCTTTAGAAGAGGTTTCTTAGATGACAAGAATTTTCTTTTTTACTTACTTTGATTTTTTCATCATTAATTGATCAACCAATAATATTAAAAAAAAGTTCATTATATTCTAATAAAATGGTTGAATCTTTTTCGAATGTATTACATTTGTTGATTTGTCAAATCGCCATAGAACATCTAATTGAAATTGAAATAAAACAAACCTTTGAATGCTTTTTATTCAACATTAGGATTATCTTTTATAATCCTATTTTATAATTCATACAAAATTATTAAAAAAAAAGAATTTCTTTTATAATACTTTTACAATAGTCGTAACTGATTTAAAATTATTTTCACCTTTATCTCTAGATCAAAAAAAACTTTCGATAACATGTTGTTGTTGAAAATAATGTTAAAACTTCAAGTAATTTACTTAGTTTATTCATTTTGTTTAATTTATATTGAATTCATTTATTTTAAAGCTAAATAAATAAATAAGTTTAAACATTTTTTGATAATCATAATAAATGAATGAATAGTCGACGGAAAAAGTCCAACGTCGATTGAATATTCACCTTCATCAATGAATGAACGAAAAACTATTCTACAACAAATCTTTATATTAGATCGATAATTTTTACTGTAAATTATTATTTGAAAAAAATCAACTACTGCACTTGATCTATTTGAACTTCTGTTTTATTATATTATATTCAATCAATATGATCGTAAAATAATATTTTTGTAAAACGTTATGTAATAAGTAACAAAAATCATTAAATTTATAAAAATTCCTTTTTCATTTTCTTCTTTCAATTATCTCTTATATATGTATATGTTACTAATCAAAGAGAATAGTCGATAATTTTTTTTTGTGTTCTTCTTTCGTTCAGTCATCACTCTTATAGCATGATATTGAGTGCACGACATCTCATTTGTTCTTACACATCCCAGACGAAAAGAAAAATAAATTGAACATAACATGTGTAAAGACGACATAGATATCGTGCACTCAATATCACAGCATGAGACAAAACAACCGGTTGTCATTATACGCTGCGTATTAAAATTCCGTCAACGTCACCTTTCTTCTCGTTCTTCGTAACAGAAGAAAAAAAAAATTTAAAACAAACGGTGCTTTTGAGGGTAGCTCTAAAACAAAATGAACCTTCCCAGGGATATCCGACGTTCTGTTGGTAACCTGTATAGGCGTGTAGATGGTAGGCCTTCATAACATACATCTATGTATGTGTGACTAGAAGCATCCATCTCGTCATCGTCTTTCCAAAGATGATGATCATGGATGTACTATTCATACATACGTAAATATATGTTTGCCGTATCATTGCCGGCTTTGTTCACTGTACAACCCAACAGAATACGGAGGGTATCGCTGGTCGCGCGTGCTGGAAATTTTGGCCGTTGGTGCGCTTCGGCGAGCCAAACATGTTCAAAAAGGCCATTTTATTTTCTTGTTTAAAAAAAACAATTACATTTTCTTTTTTACATTTTGAATGTTTCTTTTCGACTGTGCAATATGCGGATGGTTTGGTGGTAGTGATTTTTGTCGTATCTCGAGTCCTTTTTGGAGAAATGAAAGTGCTTTCGTGTACTCGCCCATGTTATAATACACCATACCGATGTTGTTGTAGGATTGAGCGAAGTCGGGATGATCCGGAGGAAGAGCTATTTTTCGAATTTCTAGTGATCGTTCTTGCGATGAAAGTGCTTTCGAGTACTCGCTCATGTTATCATACACCAAACCGATGTCGTTGTAGGAAGTAGCCAAGTCGGGATGATTTTGGGGAAGAGCTGTTTTTCGGATTTCAAGTGATCGTTCAGACGATGAAAGTGCTTTTGAGTACTGGCCCATGTTATTATACACCAAAGCGATACCAGTGTAAGAGAAAGCCAAGTCGGAATGATTCGGAGGGAGAGCTATTTTTCGGATTTCAAGTGATTGTTCGTGCAATGAAAGTGCTTTCGAGTACTCGCCCATGTTATTATACACCAAACCGATACTGTAATAAGAGTAAGCCAAGTCGGGATGATTCGGAGGGAGAGCTATTTTCCGGATTTCAAGTGATCGTTCAGATGATGAAAGTGCTTTTGAGTACTGGCCCATGTTATTATACACCAAAGCGATACCAGTGTAAGAGAAAGCCAAGTCGGGATGATTCGGAGGGAGAGCTATTTTTCGGATTTCAAGTGATCGTTCGAACGATGAAAGTGCTTTCGAGTACTCGCCCATGTTATTATACACCAAACCGATACCGTAATAAGAGTAAGCCAAGTCGGGATGATTCTGAGGGAGAGCTATTTTTCGGATTTCAAGTGATCGTTCGTACGATGAAAGTGCTTTCGA